TTTATTATTACTTACTACTATATATATATATAGTACTACTATATATATATATATATATATATATATATATATATATATATATATATATACACACACACACACACACACACTTTCCACTTCTCTCTTCATTACATTTGCATTTCCTTTTAAACCCCTTAGCTTATTTATAATGGCTATCTTATTATTTTAAAATCCTTATCTCCTAAGTCTATCATTCTGTTATTTCTGAGTTTATTTCTACTGACTGAATTTTCCTCCTGGTTAGGGATTATGATTTCTTTTTAAAAAATTTAAAAAAAATTGTCCCCTTAACGGAGGCACTGGGGATTGAACCCAGAACCTCGTGCATGCCTAACACATGCTCTACCACTGACCTGATTTTCTGCTTCTTGGTATGTGTAGTAATTTTTGATTGGATGCAGGAAATTTTGAATACCATGTTTTTGAGCATCAAGATTTTGTTTTCTTCTTTTGAAGTCTTAGTCTCTGTTCTGGCAGGCAGCTAAGCTACTGGAGCATCAGCTTGATCTTGTTAAGGCTTGTTTTCAAGCTTTGTTAGGGTGGTCTAGACAGAGATTTACCCCAGGGTTTGTTTAGCTGTACTGCTTCTGTGTCTCTACTAAATGCCCTGAGTGCTCACAAGTTCTCTCCACTCTAACAAGTCAGACTTCAAGTATCTCTCTACCCCACAGAAGTCTGAGAATTGCTCAGCCTGAACATCTATGCCCGTTCTTTGCCTGACCCTATGGAGTTTCACCCTGTAGATATGTGGTTTAGTATGAACAAAGAGACTCAATGACAGTTCAATGCTGATTTCTGGAGCTCTATGTTCTTTAACAAACTCTTTATTGACTGTCATGATGTCCTAAGCCTGTCTTTGAAGTTCTGGAAAACTAAAGTATTTTGAGTTTTCAACATTTGATTATCTTATCTTTGTATACTTCCTGATTATCACCCTAATATCTATACATGTTGATAACAGAATTTCGTGACCTCTCCTTGGTATAGAAGAAAAATGAGACTCAAAGAAATTAAAGTTGTGTCTGAATAATATTTCTAACTTATTTTCAGCATTTTGGTTTGTATAAAGGCCAGGATTTG